TGTACAAAGTAGGGCTACTACTACTTCTGCAGAAAAACAAAAAAAAAATCACAAATTTTGGATTCATCAATATACAACAAAACCATTCTGGCAGGATAAAAAATTATAAATGCCAGCAAGGGCGCTTTCCCCTTTTCCCTTTGATCTGTAAGGTTACTGGTGGATGTGATAATCTTTTATTTATATTGCATGTGGTACAATTTCAAACTGGGATTTTTGTGCCCATCATGCTCTCCTTCCATAATTAAGCCTGTAGGGCTGGCTGGCTGATATTTTTTAATGCAGAGCTTGTCAATTTCTGTTAACACTAATCTAGAGTTCATAGCTCCATATATCATGGAAATGTGAGGGCAAAACAATTTATATAAAAAATATTTTGAGAAGAGTTGAACAAATGGAGCATCATTTCTGCACCGACTACCGAGCATTTCTGTGCTGATGAAGCACCAGTTTATCCAGCAGAGCAGGGCGCTCACCTTTCCTGGCACGCACGTTTGATTTTCCCAGGTTCCTCGCTTTGCCTTCCCTTTCCTTTCATACATGCCCTCCCGCCGAAAATAAACGCTTCCTCCACCCCCTTTGCCATGTGTTGTCTTTTGAATTACACCCCAACCTCTAATATAGTCAGCCCAGATCTTGTTTTGCCATTAACTTGGGAAGAAAAGAAGCTGCCTCCTGCATTTCACACGAAACATTACAAGGGCAGACCGGGGGAATTCATCTCTTCCCACCTTCAGCAGACAGAACAATAGGCAGCTATAATCTTGTGACACCCACAACTAATTTATCCAACCAGAAGACAGGTAGCACTCTGCACTGCCGCTCCTGTCTGAGTAGGTGCAGTAAATACTCAGCTTAATAGTAGCTTCTCAGGCAGGAGGGCAACATATCACAGCATGGCGTTTTTATAATCTTCCTGGCACGCCGACAGCCAGGAGCACCGCCCGCACATGATCCTCCTTGGTGGGGCTTAGGAGGCATGGAACCGTTAGATGGTGACACATTGTGCCTTTGAGCAAGTTTAACTGTTTTATATCCTCTCTGATCTGCAGCTTTGTACATCTGTTAGGCTGCCTCTTACACTTCTGTGGGCACATCTGTGGAGCCGCTACTTGAAGCTCGGCGTGCGTTGTGGGCCTGGTGGGGGGTTTCTTTGTGACAGCCTCCTGTTTATCTCTGTCACACTGCGAGGCCACAGTTAAATACATCATCTTGGTCAAAAAAGGTGATGATAACCTTGTGACCGCTGGGAGGGATATACTTAGCAAAGGCTGAACAAAAAACTTGTCTGGACTAAAAAGAAATAAAGTAACAATTTTTTTTATAAACATTTATTTCTCACATGTCTGTGGTCATTTGGGCTTCAGCTGAACTGATTCCAAGCTTGTATTAGTCAGGGTTCTCCACCGAAACAGAATCAATAGGATAGATAGAGGCATAAAAGAGAAGAATTAATATAGGAATTGGCTCACGTGATTATGGAGGCTGACAAGTCCCATAATATGCTGCCTGCAAGAGGACCAGGAAAGCCCATGGTATAATTCAGTCTCAGTCCAAAGGTCTGAGAACTAGGAGCTCGGATGACCGAGGGCAGGAGAAGGTGGATGTCCCAGCTCAAGAATCGAGAGCCAATTCACCCTCCTCCACCTTTTTGTTCTATTGGGTCCTCAACAGATTGGATGATGCCGCCCACACTGGTGAGGGTGGATCCTCTACTGTTTACTGATTCAAAACCGAATGTCTTCCAGAAACATCCTCACAGACACACCCTGAAATAATGCTTAACCTGTTATGTGGGCATCCCTTAGCTCAGTCAAGTTGACACATAAAATTACTGTAGGTTAGATCAAGGTCGGCTCCATATACTATCTTTTTTTTTTTAAACATATTTTATTGATTTTTTACAGAGAGGAAGGGAGAGAGATAGAGAGCCAGAAACATCAATGAGAGAGAAACATTGATCAGCTGCCTCCTGCACGCCCCCCACTGGGGATGTGCCCGCAACCAAGGTACATGCCCTTGACCGGAATCAAACCCGGGACCCTCGAGTCCGCAGGCCGACGCTCTATCCACTGAGCCAAACCGGTTCTGGCTCCATATACTATCTTATCATCCTTAAACAAGATGTTAGTTACACAAGGCATATTCTTCCTATGGTGAAACACAACCTTGTTTCAAGTCTTCTATTTTAGGCTAACTTTCCATTGGCCAAAGCAAATCACATGGATGGCTAAGTCAAGGGACAGGGCCATATACTCTGCTTATCACGAGGCCAAAGCAAGTCACAGGGCCAAGCTCAGCATCAAAGAGGTAGGGAAATATATTCCTCCCAAGAAAATAAGAGTGGGGGAGGAAGTGAATATTTGCTGACCATATAATCTAATCTACAACGCTGTACCTGTCTACAAAAGGAAGAAAGCACGGATATTTGCTATGTAGTGAAATTTTGCATATATCAAGTCCCTCTATGTGGGTTGCATTGCTGACAGCTGCCGAGGACACCACAAGGAAAGAGGAAGGAAGGCCCTGGCTGAGAAACTAAGGTCTTGAATATTTATCTCTTTTGGAGTTGAAAAGGTCCCTTTTCTGCTCTTTAAGCACTTTTGGTCTCTAAACACTTGAAGAAAATAAATGTGTGTGAAGGTGTTTGGGGCTTATAGCAGGACTGATAATCATTGGCACACACCATGAAGACATACAATTGGGCATCCTTTCTAATTGGCCAAGGACCATTTGGAAAGGGTGGTGCCTTTACAATATGGTTAGTTAAATATATATGTATATATATTTTAATATATTTTATTTTGATAGAGAGTTAGAAACATCGATGAGAGAGAAACATCGATCAGCTGCCTCCTGCACACGGCCTACTGGGGATGTGCCAGCAACCAAGGTACATGCCCTTGACCGGAATCGAACCTGGGACCCTTCAGTTTGCAGGCCGACGCTCTATCCACTGAGCCAAACCGGTTAGGGCAGTTAGTTAAATATTTGAATATCACCACTGGCTGGATATATTTATACTTCTGTGATTCTGGCTCTCTGTTAGGCATGTAAATTATGATTCTGGATTGGCTCATCACTCTTCTCAGAGAAACTGTCTCGCTCACAGCTTTTGCAGAACATCAGCTTTTGGTTGAATCACAAAACTCCACATCCCAACCGCCACAGCTGACTGAACCATGGATGAGCACCTGACCCAAAGACAGCCAATGACTAGGTTCAGGCATATTTGATCGCCTGTTATTAGGTCTCTCTTTAGATGTACAGGGTCAATTCAACTTCTATTGTAGAAAAAATGAATTGGAAAATGTGGAGCAAATCAGATGTTATTTGTGGCTAAAAGTTTATCTGGAAGAATGATATTTTGCACTGGGTTTTAAAATCAATTTGTTGGAGCCAGGCTGGTATGGCTCAGTGGTTGAGCATCGACCTCTGAACCAGGAGGTCACAGTTCAATTCCTGGTCAAGGCATATACCTGGGTTTCAGGCTTGATCAATAATTCTGTTTCATCATTGGTGTTTCTATCTTTCTCTACCTCTCCTGTCCTCTCTCTGAAATCAATAAAAATCTATTTAAAAAAAATTTGTTGCCGAAACCGGTTTGGCTCAGTGGATAGAGCATCGGCCTGTGGACTGAAAGGTCCCAGGTTCGATTCTGGTCAAGGGCATGTACCTTGGTTTCGGGCACATCCCCAGTGGGAGATGTGCAGGAGGCAGCTGATGATGTTTCTCTCTCATCGATGTTTCTAACTCTCTATCTCTCTCCCTTCCTCTCTGTTAAAAAGAATCAATAAAATATATTTTTAAAAAATTTGTTAGTGTCAATCTGTATTAGTTATTTATTATAGCGCGGGCCACCTGCAAATACAAATATTGTATTTGTTCCCGTTTTGTTTTTTTACTTCAAAATAAGATATGTGCAGTGTGCATAGGAATTTGTTCATAGTTTTTTTTTAAACTATAGTCCGGCCCTCCAACGGTCTGAGGGACAGTGAACTGGCCCCCTGTTTAAAAAGTTTGAGGACCCCTGGTTAGGAGACCCCTGTGAAAGGGTTGTTCGACCCCCAAAGGGGTCGCGACCCACAGGTTGAGAACTGCTGCCCTAGCTGGTTTGGCTTAGTGGCTAGAACATCAGCCTGCTAACTGAAGTGTTATGGGTTCAATTCCGGTCAAGGTCAAGGTCAAGAGCACGTACTTTGGTTACAGGTTCCATCCCCGCCTGGATTGGGGCGTGTGCAGGAGGCAACCAATCCACGTGTGTTTCTCACATCAATGTTTCTCTCTGTCTCTCCCTCTCCCTTCCACTCTCTCCAAACACCAATGGGAAAGTATCCTCCAGTGAGGATTAAAAACAGCAAAAAAATGTCCTCGGGTGAGGACTAACAAAAAAAAAATTACTTAAATAAAAAGAACCATGCCCTAGCCCAGTGGTTCTCAACCTTCCTAATGCCTTTAATACAGTTCCTCATGTTGTGGTGACCCCCAACCATAACATTATTTTTGTTGCTACTTCATAACTGTAATTTTGCTACTGTTATGAATCGTAATGTAAATATCTGATATGCAGGATGTATTTTCATTGTTACAAATTGAACATAATTAAAGCATAGTGATTAATCACAAAACAATATGTAATTATATATGTGTTTTCCGATGGTCTTAGGCGACCCCTGTGAAAGGGTCGTTCGACCCCCAAAGGGGTCGAGACTCACAGGTTGAGAACCGCTGACCTAGATTAATGTGTAATTGAATAACTGAGAACTGTAGCTGAGTCAAATCAACATATCAAAGAATTCTATCATAACATCCTTTCACTTTTTTCACGATTCTGAGAATTTAATATGTTAACTTGAACATACAACTACATTCTAATGTGATTATATTAAATGCAAAGAAACAGATCCTTACAAAACCAAAATAACCCACAAGCCATGAGGTCAGTTTCACTTTTTCCTTTGTTTAAACAAATGAGCACCACGATGGTTCAAGTAAGGCAAATGACATGAATATGAAAGCTGCAGTTTGTAATATACCACATCTAGAACCCAGAGAAGGTGAATTAGACTAAAGTGGCAGTCATTCTAATTAAACAATCAGGATGACTTGGTTTGCAGCATGGAAACTGTCGATCTAGGTTTCTTTTCTCTTAATGATCAGAGGTCCCACATTATCTCCAGTCTCTTCGTTGTGTTTTGTGTGAGATCCATCGCAGAATGGGAACTTTTTGGACCTCCAACAATGGCAGTACACAGCTTTAGCTCCCAAATCCTCCATGTCAAAAGCATGTACAACCTTGGGGTTATCTTTCTGAATGTGTAGGTTCATCATAGTTTTGTTGCGATGATCTTTAACATAAATTGTTTTGTAAGCTAGATAACCAATTGTGGCTGTCCCAGCAGCAATGGTAACTGCTGCAATCCATCCAACTCGTACGATGGAGGTCAGGCTCATGGCGCCGTCGCTTGCAAAGTGTGTGCACAGGACACTGAACCCAAACGGGCTAGCGCAGACAGACCGCGTCAAGGTGCGGAAGGCGTCCCAAGGGCACTGATTCTGGGCAGCTACCGCGGCTACCATGCAGGCACCACAGCCACATCCTTCCACTTTTTCCACATTCCATTCATTAGAAGCAAGTCACTAAGTCCAGCCCACCCTCCAAGGGGGGGTATTACAGAGAGTGTGAATACCAGGAAGCAGGATCATTGGGAACTGTTTTACAAGGCTACCTGCCAGAGTCACTTTTCTTTTAATTTTTTAAAAATATTTTTTTATTGATTTCAGAGAGGAAGGGAGAGGGAGAGAGATAGAAACATCAGTGATGAGAGAATCATTGTTTGGCTGCTTCCTGTATGCCTCCTACTAGAGATTGAGTCTGCAATCTGGGCATGTTCCTTGATTGGGAATTGAACTGTGACCTCCTGTTTCATAGGTTGATGCTCAACCATTGAGCCACACTGGCGCTGGACCACTTTTAAATTTTACTTGCAAAATAACTTTTGCAAGGGAAAATGCCTTTAAAAATATTCCTAACTAAAAATAAATAAATAAATCTGCACAGCTATTTGTATATATTGAATTAATTTTGGCCAATAAATGAAGTGTTCTTCAGTGGTTAATTACACAGATTTGGTGAGCAAACATAGTTTGTAACTTTAAGTGAACAAAGCCAATTCCGTGCAACAAACATTCTAATAAATGTGGTTTTCACTAACAAATATTTATAGTCTTGGGTTTATAAGTCAGTGTTCCTCAGAACCATTAAAACAATATTGAATATTACAAGGAAAGTCCTTTGACCTTCTTAGTTAAGATCACTGAAAACGATGGCAAATGGATTCCATTTGTATTTTAACCAAGGAGGAATGAAAGAATTTGGGGCTTATAATGCTCTATTTCCAGTCTGGGGGCGAGAAAGGCTAGAGTGTCATTCTGGCCCATGAAGGGCCATGAAGGGCCAGGCATGAATGAGTAGAAGCTTTGACATAGAATAAAAGCTAGTGAAAAAGAGGCAAGCAGGCACACCATGGCAGAGACAGGAGGGACAGTAACATAAAGTAGCCAGAGGGCAGATCCCGGCCCCTCCTGCTGCTGAGGCCACTAAGGGTTCATTTCCTGTCTCCACCAAGGTCTACTTGAACCACCAACCCTGTTCCTGGATTCCTCTTCTCATTTACTCACAACCTCCCTCTCCTACCACCCCCTCATCCCATTGACATTACTTGCTGAGTGAGTCTCTGTTCTTGTTTCGGGGAAAATTAGATGTTTCACATTTATAAATCGGTAACCTTTTAGTTTCGCTCTAACTCAACTAAAGTCGAAGGGAGGTTTTTTTTTTTTTTTTTTTTGTGTGTGTGTGTGTGTGTGTGTGTGTGTGTGTGTGTGTGTGTGTGTTTGAATTGTGGTAAAATACACACAATGTGAAATTTCAAAGGGAGTTCTGATAAAAAGAGGCATGAACTGAATTAGAACTGGAACCAGAATGGAAAAGATCCTTAGGGATATGTTTCCGGCTGCCTTGGCAGCTCTGTTTCCTTCTGCAGCCTTTTCTCATTGTACTGACCCGCCTTTTCTGCTTACTTGGGGTTTCTGCCCCCTTATCACTTGGGTTTGCAAAAGGTCTGAAATGGCTACTCCAGTCCAGTCTACATGCTGTGACTCTTGAACATCTTTCCCACTTTAACATCTACTGAAACCCACTTAGGGCTCTTAGTTTTCCCATACTGAATCAATGACAGAGGACTCTGATTATTCTGATTCATCATTTTGATCATAGGCTTGCCCAATAATGGGCTAATCTAGGTTAGATGACCAGTTCTGGTTTGGTCAGCCATGATCAGAAGGGTGGAATCACTCTGAGAAATGACTCATGAAGCATTAAAGGCACTTGGGGGGTAGGTTTGGGCATTGTGTCTAATGGGCAATGGTTGGCATATTCTGAAGGTATCTTCATTAGATTTCCCATTATCAATTCATTCATTAATCAGTACATATTGACCATATAAGGGGCGCTGGACTAGCTAGGCATTGTTAATAGCTAACATTTATTAAACACGTATAATGTGCTAAGCACTGGTTTAAGAGACCATTATACTGTGGGGCATCACAAAATGATAATGGCATTCTCAAGAATTTTGCAATCTGTTTAGAGATGAGACACCTACACCCACAAAACTTTAAGTTGTGCAAAACACCAATAGTAAAAATGCTCTAAGTAATTTCCTGGCCAACATCTCAAAGAGCAATAAAGATAGTAAGTGCTATGCATTCTGAAGGATTGCTACAGTGTGAAAAAATATGAGAAGTCTTTACAGAGAACTTGATCTTGAATTTTAATGATGGACAAGTTTCTGTTAACAAGGGAGACCAGAGAAAGTAATTGATTATCCAATAAATATTCATTGTACACTTAAGTGTGGTCAGTCACTGTAGTAGGAGCTAAAGACAAAGGAGAGAACAAGACAGTCCTTTGAAGGAGGTTATAACCTAAAGAGGGCTAGACAAGCAAATACAGAATAGTTATAGGCCTCAGGGGGATGGGGGGGATGACAAGCTATCTACACTAATAAAAGAGAAACATGGTAATTAGCGTACGACGGCTACCCTTCCCATTGGCTAATCAGCATATCCTTATGCAAATTAACTGTCAGCCAAGATGGTGGCCGGCAGCCAGGCAGCTGGAGGCGAACATGAGGCTTGCTTGCTTCAGTGAAGGAGGACTCCAACGTTCCCCGCCTGACTTGCCGGCCTCTGAGCTGGCAGTTTGAAACATTCTAACAAATATAGAGCTAAACAAAACCCCAGAAACCAACTTTCAGCCGGCCGGGATCTCAGAGCTGGAGTTATACATTGTTTCGATTATAGAATG